CGATCATTTTTAGAAAATATAACATTAATATCTTTCTTAAGCAAAACATATACATCAAATTCATAAATTGATTTAAATCAATCTGAGTATGAAGTTTTGATAGAAATCCGACTTTCTGCGCCTTACAAGTAAATGAATTTCAAAAATACTATATCGCGATATATCGCTATATCGCGATGCAAAATTGACGATGCATCACGATATAAAATTTCTTGTATCTCCCAGTCCTAGACATGTCATTATTAAAACACTACAGTGTGTCTAATCATTTCGTCTAATTATTATAATATTCTTATATAATACCTGATATAATAAATATTCTATATTTATATAATGTATCGTCTAATTTATCCAATCGTCGAATTTATATTATATATTGCCTAATTTAGCCAATTGATACACGAACGTAAACAAGTGCAAACCGGTTTCAGTCGCATAAAAACAATAAAGCTGTATAGTATCACCAGATAATTAAGATTTTACATTGAATGTTATGGTGCATCTAATAATTTGGCCAGAGACTGTATATGCTCCCGTATCACCGCTGGGGATTGAAGCCCCGACTTCTTGGTTTGTAGACTCAAAATTAATTAACTTAACTTTAAGAATATATTTTTGACAATTAAATATAAAAATATAAAAACAGATAAAAATATCGTAGTGCATACCTATACAGCTGAGAAGCGGAGGAGAAAGAAGGGGGAAGGGTTAAGACATGGATTCGATGTTCTCCCCAGATGGCGTATTCGAGCACTGCAATCGCGAATCGCAGAAGAAGGGAGCTGAAAACTTCATTGAATATAGTTCTATAAGAAAGCATCGTGGAGATTCAAGAAATATTTTTTATAATTAAATACGAAAAATATCAAGAAAGGGGACAATTTCATATTACATTCCTATACAACTGAGTAAAGGAAGAGACGGAAGGTGGGAGAACTTCGGTTGTTATATTTTTCATTGCTTTTCTTTCTTTATTCTTTTGGAAGGTGAGAGGATTTAGACATAGAACCAGTCTTCTCCCCAGTTGGCGTATTCGAGTGTTGCGATCGCGAATAGGAAAATTTCGTTAAAATTAGGATAGCACCAACTACGCAAAATCAGGATTACACCAACTACTAGAGCTAAGAGTGGGGTGTAATAATAGCGCGTCGCTTTTCAGAACCATTTTGCCGTGTATGGTTTGATTCGTATGTCTCTACTTTTATCACACATAAAGCAACAAAAAAAGCGAACTTTATCGTTCATATTGCCGATCGAAATGGGCTACAGAAGGCGTAGAGCAGAACTCTCTACCTAAGGCAACACTTCGCATGCTTTCACCATGTAGATTGCAATCTTTTATGTTGGAAAACTACATTAAACCTAGTTCTAAAAGAAAGCGTCATGAAATTTTAAAAAATATTAAGAAAAGGAAAAAATATCGTTGTACATTCCTACACAATAGAAAAGAGAAGAGAGAGAAGGGCCACGGGCATGGAACCGGTTTTCTCCCCAGATGGCGTATTCGAACGTTGCGATCACCTATTCTTAGCTTAAAGGTTACAAGCTATCAGCATAACATCTGCTATCTCAACTTACACTATGACTTCGACTTCATACAAATCCAAATAAACAAATATTTCGCCGATCATTTAAGAAATATAACGAACACCCTTATTTCCCATTTAGAGATATATCTTTAAATTTAAAATGAAAATTCATTTAAATGTCAATATTCTCTTACCTATTCTCAACAGGCGGTTCTATTCGTCTGTCACAAATGAAAGAGCACGAGCAATTAGAAATGATCTATTCGTGAAAGAAAAACTAAGACAGTCATCTCTCATAACTCGGGTGGAAAAAATTGAAGTAACATACCGTGGAGTGCCTTCCGATAACACTTTAATAATGAATAAAAATCTTTCTACGCCTTATAATTGTGCTCAACATATTCACGAATCTCTCTGCCAACGATCAGTTCTCGCAGAAGTGAATGGAGAATTGTGGGACATGCATCGACCACTCACGGATAATTGTGAATTGCGATTTCTCAACTTCAACACCTCTCCGGAGATACTAAACAAAGTTTTTTGGCGAAGTTGTAGCTTTCTCCTTGGCATGGCAATCGAAAGAGCCTTTAAAGATAAATATTTCGTGAAACTTCACAGCTGGCCTAAACCAAGCATTGAAAGTGGGAGCTACGTTTACGACGCTGATATTGGAATAGCGAACTGGAAAGCTACCGATGAAGAGTTAAAAACATTTACGACTATTTTATGGAAATTGAGTCAAGAGGACACTACTTTTGAGCGACTCATTGTTTCTGAGAATCTGGCATTGGAAATGTTTCAACACAATGTCTTCAAAACTCATCAAATTCCCAACCTAAGCAAGGATGGGAGCGTTGTTTTGTATCGTGTAAGAGATCACATCGATATAAGTTGTGGGCCTATGATTGGGAACACTAAATTTGTGGGTACCACTAAAGTAACTGCGGTTCATCAGCTGGACAGAGACTGTGGTTACAGATTTCAAGCAGTGTCATTACCTAAACAATTAACTCTCAGCAGTTTCGGTTTCAGTGTATTGGTTGACCGAGCTAAAAAATTAAACGGTGTTGGTCTTAAACAATCTTTTGAAACAAAAGCGCTTTAGTATTAAATTGTATTGTGTAGAGTTATTAAAAAAATAAAAGTTTCTAGTGCCTAAATCTATTTTTTAAGAAAAGTACATATAAATATTAAGATTATACAACGTCATTTAAATTTTGAAATTGATGTAACACTAACAATACATTGGGATAAGGGCTGGGATAGTCTGGTTGGTAGGACACTGAGCCCATGTCCGAGAGCTCATGGGTTTGATCCCCACCGACCAAAAACTCCCAGTGTAGAAATGGTGACTGATGCATGTTAAATCTGTCAAGTCACAAAGTCCATCATGTTAAGATAACAAATTATACCTGTGGATGTACTGATCTAGGAGTTTCCTTGTCTTCTGGATTGGTTCAAAATTACAAGCCTATGGAGGTGAACATTAGTAGTCGTAAACCCAAAATTGGGTCGGCTGTTCAACGACGGTTATAAAATACATTGGGAAAGATTTCTGTGGCAGAATAATCGCCAAGTCTTAAAAACTTTCGGGGTGCCGCCCTCGAGAAACTTTAAAAAAACATCACAGAAAGGGATCTCTAAGGGTATAACTTGTAGCCCTCCTCGGACAAGCATCTAGATGTTTTTATAAAAAACATTTGCTCGTTTAAAATCTATTTTGAATTTTGGCGATTACTCGACAGATCATAATACGAAAATATCCCCTTACATGCATATTTTCCAAATTATCTAATTTATATTGCATTTTTACATTGGTAAATATTTTTATTACCCAATAAAAATTTATTAAAACTCAATATCTCATTTAATAATTATTGTTAAGTATAGAGATACAATTTTTTTGATATGTTATGTAGTCAATAATATATGTCATGATTATAACATATTCGAAGATAATAGTTATCCCTGAGGCAGAAATCTTGACAATATTATCCCTAGAATTCTTGCAGAAAGTGTTCTCTTTAAAGAATCAGAAAACTTCAATTTTATTTTTTCAAAAAATACTTTTTATTCTGGAACTAATTTGTAATGAAATCTTCACTCATAGTCATACTTTATTGAAATATATATCAGAAAAAAAACCTCATTGTTTTAAATTTTTGTGATTTTGGAAATACTTTTTAAATTATGAATTCTAGCTGAAGTCAGTCTTAATGGAATTTTTAAAGAGGAAACTTTGGTTTTATTTTTTCTGCAGAATTGTTTCAAAAAATACTTTTTATTCTGGAGAATTATTTTCTAATGACACCCTTTCTCTTGTAGTCAGAGGGAGGAAAAGCCCTCCCGATTTTTCTATTTTCTTTAAAAATTCCATTAATACTGGCTTCTGCTAGAATTTCAAATTGATAATATAAAAAGTATTTCCAAAATCACAAAAATTTAAAACAATGTTTTTTTTTAATATATACTTCAATAAAATATGACTGTGAGTGAAGATTTGGTTACAAATTCAGATTTGTAGCCAAAAAAAAAATAATAAATTAAGGTGTTATATTTGTCCTACCCTTTTTTTTTATTTGTTTAAAACAAAATCCACTCAATATTTTTAATGTACAGTCGGACCCCAATTTAACGAATTTCGCGATTTAACGAATTTTTTTTCCAACCCCAGCAAAAACAGAGTCAAAAAACCTTAATTAACGAATAATTAACCCCGAATTAACGAACTAATCAGCATCCGGAAAAAATATTTTTCATTCATTTTGATCAGAAAAATACTGCATTTTTTTGTAATTGGCAGATTCTAATCTTTCCTGGGAGAAATAAAATAGAAAAAGTGCATATTCGTCTCAAACAAAAGAAAACCCCGCAACAGGGAAAAACAAAATTCGTCGTGGGTAGGTGGGCAGCGTCAATAAGACATTACACTTTCAAGGTCATTTTCCGGGGGTTTGTCACATGAACTATGAGTCAAACTGGAAATTCCTTTCTTATTTTAGATAGTCGTTTATAACTAGCAATTTTTAATAATACATATGTACAAAAAAACAATTTTTTTTTAACCCCGATTTTACGAATGACCCCGATTTAACGAATAAAATTTTCGGTCCCAATGAATTCGTTAAATCGGGTCTGACTAAGTGGAAATTTCAAATTACTCATTTGAGTCTTTAAAACTCATGCCAATTCATCATAAATACATTAAGCGTTTTGATCATGTTTTTCGGAAATCATTGCACATGATCATATTTTGATACATGATGATGATATTCTCGCAATTTTTTAAAATTGTTATTATTAACAATATGTAATATATCTGAATCATTCATTCAAGTAGTCAGTCCTTAACACTTGGTTAACGTTTATATCTTATAAATCCATGCTGTGTTTTTATCATTTTTTCAACAGTTGTGTTTCTTTTACAAAAATCCCACTGTTTTTTATTCAATTTTATTACACTCAAAATTCAAATCACACATTTGATTATTTACTTCTAATGGGATAATTCCAGTGTTTTCCAGCAATAATTGCTACTAATTTCCGCATGTTTTTAAAATTTCCAATATTCCTCATTTTATATTTCGCCACGTGAAATTCAAATCCTTTATTTTAATGAATTTTCGGTTGTTATTGATTTCGGTTGTAATTTAATGTGATGATGATTTGCAAAATGCGAAAATTGGCGTATTTTTCTCCTACAAAGAATATTGTCCATAGTATTAGGGAATTGACCTTTTTCTGAAATAACACAGTTAATTATAATATCAACACGATTCAAAAATATCAATACGATTATTTAGTAATGATGATTATAACAATAACTTAAATTTTAATCTATGAGTTATTTCAATATTTTAAATTATATTTGATATAATTCTAAAGAGTTAAATGTTTTTCTCACCTATTTTATTTTAGTTTTATACAAAGTTTTAAAATTTCGGAATAATCAGTTCTCTGTTAAGAGTTATAACACAGTGCACAAAAAGGTTCCTGTCCACATGTAGATGATAAAAGAATGAAGAAAACTATAGGGAGGAAGAAGACAAGAATACTAGAGAGGAAGTATTGATCAGAAAAGAATTTTGAGAGAAAAATGGTTCTTGTCCAACCTAGTTTTCAAATTTTTTTTGATTCATCAAAACCAGGTTGCCACTCCACAGGGAAACCCTGGAAAATACAGGGAATTTAAAAATCACCTAAAATAACGGAATTTTCAGTTTTTCTTTAGAAACTGGGAAAATACAGGGAATTTTATTTCTTATTTTCATCATCACTCAAAGGGATATTTAAGAATGATATTTCTATTAAACTAGTTTATTTACTGTAGCATTATTTGTTTTAGGTATGTTCAGCTGTTCCTTTTTTCTAAGTTTTTTTCAGCATTTTTAACTAGTATAGTTAGCCTAAAACAGCTCATATAAGAGCACAGTAATTGTTTTTTTCCCTTTTAATATATTATATGTACAGGATGGGAAAAACACAGGGAATTTTTCTTCCAGATTTGAGTGGCAGCCTCGCATTTGACAAATGGGTACTTTGGGATTATCCCATCAATCATTTTCATACTTTGGGATTATTCCGTTGACCATTTTCACCAAAAGGTAGCTTCTGCGCCAAGAACCGCAAATTTTATCTTATTTACGATTGTGGTGTTTGGTGAAACAAGAAACACTGCGGAACTACCTGAAGACACTTAGATTCGTATTTAAACGAATTTATGTGCACAAGGATAATGGCTTGTTTGTTTGTGCCTTAAATGCTATCAAGGATTTTTGGCCGCTAAAATGATTTATAATAATATATATGGTTAGATTCAAGAATAATTCAATTTGTAGTTATAAAAAAAGAGGTTTTTACTTTGTTATGATTCCTTTTATTACGTATTTTTACACTTAAATTTTTTTAGTTTTTATTATTTTTTGATAAAATTAATGTATTTAGAACGTTATTTATTTTTTTTGGTAATTGCTTTTCATTATGGTAGCCTCAAAGGATTTGCACATTTCCGTGAGTGTTGACAGGTCAATGAGATAATCCCAAAGAACAGGTCAATAGGATAAACCCAAGGTACCAACAAACGTTTCATATACGTTTATAGTGAACAAATAAGAAATTCATAGTTCATTTACAGAGGACTCAAATTTCTTTTTTGCAGTTATTTACATAAATGTAAAAAGAAATTTTGATATTTTCCTGCCTCTATTGTTCACAATGAAGGGTATCGTGAGAAACGATCCAACATAGTTCTAATGTACTACAAAGTGCAACATAATTATAAAATAAAACAATTTATTTCACGTTTTTCCTCTTACATCTAATTTGTATATAATTATTCTTCCGTAGAAATCTGTACTGTCTGAAAACGTCACTTTCATACAATCAGTAGGTTCTGTGTTTAAAGTAAATACTTATTAAAAGTTAAGGTATCATTAACATTGTAAATGAATAACAATTTTTAGGAAACAGTCTAATTTATTATGAGATTTATAACTAAAAAAACAAAATAGAAATAATTAGTTTTTAAACATATAATAGTGCATAAACAGTTATTACCTCATAGAAAACTTCCTGCGCCTCAAAAATATACAAATGTCAATCATAAATTAAAAATATTACAGACCATTTATAGTTATTAATGTAAAAAAGCTTTTGTATTTTCGATGACAGTAAAAATCCCTCAAATTATCTATATGTAAAATACTTAGTATACTATGTGTAATGAGAGCAGCAATGATAGTCTTAAATCAAGCTGATTGGTTGAATGCAAAGTTTAATGATCAAGGTATCTGCCACATTTTAGACTTCCGAATTCATATCTTTCCATGACTGATTCCTAGACGACTAATTCCTAGACGTAGATTCCTTTTATGACTTAACGAAGTTACTATTTTCTCCGACAAAAACACAACAAGAAATTTAAAAAAGCATAATAATAACATAAATTGAAATGATAGGTATAACCAAAACTGTTATACTCTGCTTTGTTATATTTAAAGATTTTAAATTAAAAAAATAAAACAGAATAAGGAAAGAGTTGAAGTAACAAAATAGCTGAAAAAAATACAAAAGCAAATAATTTTTTTCAGCAGAATTATATTCTAAAGATACTTTTCTTGTTCATCCGAAAGGAAAGAAATACTCCTGATTTTTCTGTTCTCATTTCGGAATTTACAAAAAATCACCAATGACTGGCTTGCTTCAGTTAGAAATTTAAATTGATAAAATAAAAATAAATAATAACAAAAATTCTGAAATCACAGAAGTTTAAAAGATAATTCGCTCTAGAAATTATGCTTTTTCTTTCATTTTTTTGAAAGAACACCATAATTTTTAAAGAACATGATAAAAACATTTTATATTTTAATAAAATATGACTGTGAGTGGGGATTTTATTACAAATTCAGATATTCGGAACACCATGAAATGGGGGGGCGGGGTATTTTAAAAATTAGATTTTTATGCCTCCTAAATCCATGACTTTCCATGATTTTTTATATCGTTCCATAATCCAATTATAATTTTATTCTCAAAAGTAAAACAAAAATAATTATACATTGAATAGAAAAGAATTCGTTCACATTATTAAGATTTTTTCGCAATTCATTTTCTATTTCAAAAAAAATACAACATAACAAGATTTTGAGAAGAAACCCTTCGACATAGGAATACAACTTAACATTAGGTGGATATATAATGCCATGCCAAGGGGGGAAAAAATTTTTGGCATAAGAAAGTTTTCTAGATATCAAAGTTTGAGATAGCGAGAGTATACTGTATAATGAAAACACATGGTGTTATAAAAAACAAAAATACAAAACCCGATAATAAAATATTGATCAGTAAAACACAATAAAGGATATCTGTAGTGAATTGCAATCTTCAGGATAAATATATTTATGTTTTTCCATCATTTCGTTGCGTCTGATTTCGACTAGACAATCTTTACCACAAAATCCACCTTGAAACTGAATGTGCAATTCTTCAATGCTAACAGAAGTTTTAAAATCTAATTGTAACCACTGTGGACTACCCTACATAAAATGAAAAACAATAATGATGGAAAACGGTCAGTAAGTGTTACATATTAAACAAATAGTTTCTAATGACTGACAGGATTAATAATATTTTTTAAAAAGAATTGAGATTTCTAGATTACAATTATAAAACGTTTAAAAAATAACTTCTGAAATTTGATCAAACATCAGTATAGGATATACCGTACGAAAGTAAACTGAGCAGTAGCACTTAGCTAGGCCTAGTATATATTTCGGACATTTACCAAAAGCGACTATGTGATTGTTCACATTCACTGGTGGAAGTCGACAAGATCAAGATTTCCATATTTATTTCCAATTGCAGGGATGAGATTAGCAAAAAGGCAAAAAAGCTGAATTTCCACGATAGTAAATTTTACGTAAGCGCAACCCTATAATAATAAATTCCAGACAGATTAAGGTAATAAATAATGTGTTGACATACAATTGTGTACTAATCTATTATTATATAAATGATTACATTGATACTTAACATTTAGTGAAAATAAAAATTACCAATTGAAAAAATAAAGCTGGAAATTATATTTTTCCTCAGTTCACATAAGAGACAATTATTACTTGAAAAACTACCTGGTTTAGCAAATTAAAACTACTGAGAATATACATTAATATTTCATTTCTTTTAATAAATACTGTTATGTGA